TTTTTCTATAGTTGTGTCTCTAGTTTAGTATTCCGGAATCGGTGTAATCAAAACTGGTATTACATATTTCTATTCTTATTGGTGTTATTATTTTTTAATATAAAATAGAGAGCGTCATAGGGTAGGGCTGCTCTAACGCTCTGTCCTGATAAAAATTCTTTATCCGTTTTGATCGAGTAAAACTAATTTTTAAAAAGCAATTTTTAATTGATTACACCTTATCTACAGCTTAAAATTGACTAGAACTCTAGTCAAATTTGTTTTCTTCTGCAGATTCCAACAGGTATGCATATCATATAACTTTCTTGCTCAAAAAGAACAAGAAGTTAATGAACATGAAAAAAAAAATTTTTGCTAAGAAAACCAAATCAAAAGTTGCCTTTCAATCTGAAAACCCGACTTGAATAGGCATATTTAAAAATAGTCGATGCTAATTAAAAACCTTCCTTCCAAGAACAGAAAGTCATTCTATACCAGAAAGCCATCCACAAAAAAGAATTTTACAAGGCATAAGAGCAGACCATGGGTTTTTCTATATATTTTTCGGAAATTCTACGAATTTCAAGGTTTAGCACCTAAAAACCTAGTTTTTGAATAAACAACCATTTTTTTGGTAATTTAAATCACTTTTTTTTCTCGCAAAAGTGTTTTCCAAGTAATATTTCTCGTATTTCGACATATGATCGCTAAAAGCACCTATGCAAATATCAGAAAAATTCTTCAAAAACCCTTAATTTTTTTAGATAAATACCAGCAAAAACTAGCTCGCAATACAATTCCATTTTTGAAAAAGCGATGTGAATTTTCATATAATAGAAGGCTATTGACTTCTTATTCCGTTGGACTAGGGATGTTACTTTATCTTTTTTTTTAAAATAAATATAAATTCGATCCTTATTTTCATAAAATAAACACAAATAAATTCTTCATCTTTATTTTATAATGATAAAGAGATTGTTTATTTTTGAAAAATAAATATACATAGATGAGTAAATCTTTATGGTTAAAAAATAAAGTTAAATATCAACATTATATTTATAAAATAAAGATAAAAAAAGAATAAAGAATAGACAAATACCTAATATAACAGCGGGTTATGTTAATGAATATTTTTTCTTACAGTAACATTACTTCGACATGTGATATTATTAAAAATCAAGCTGATATATGAAAAAATATATGCAACAGACTTTTCTGTACATATCATTTCCATCTATGGTATCATAACTTTTTGTGAACTACTTAGTGAAAACTAAAGATTATGTTGTCAGAGGAGAAAAAGTTTCTTTATTATTTATTTTATCTTTTTTTTTTATTTACATTTATTTTTCAAATAAAAAAAAATTTTATGTTTATTTTATAAAGATAAAGATTTTATTTATAGTTATCCTTTGCTATAAATAAAAATAAAAATAAAGTAACGCCTCTCAGTGGGGAAAAAAGGGTAGAAAAGTTTAATTTGTCGGTATTTTGATTGGCACGAGTTACTACTAATCATTATCACACTTCGAAGTATGGCGTGCATCAAAGGTTGATCTAGGATTACACTTGTCAATGCAGGGAGATGAGAAGTTCACAAAAAAAAGCTAGAGTTTTCAAATTAAAAATTCAGAGAAATGCGTTTCACACACATCGCGATTAAAGGCGGACAAAAATTGGATAATCTTATTAGAATAGCAACACTTTAATCAAGTCTCAATTATCAAAAAGTTCTTTAAAATTAGATTTGTTTCTAAGTTTTAACACGGGTATCATTCTTTAGTAGGCGATTTTTTGATTGTCTACTGGGTTTGATTTTGACATTTTTTCGAACCTACATGAATAAAATGTTAATACTAAATTTGAAAGCAATCACATAATTTTTATCAATTTTTTAGAACTTGTAATGAGGAAACTCAATTTAGTTGCCCTGCCCTGTGATGATCTCTAATACAAAAGTACATTAGTTACACATTCTTTCTATATGTAAATGAGCAAAGAGAGTGAAGCAAAATGAAAATTGATGTGAAAAATCTCGAATGAGAAAATATGCAAAAACTATTATTATGTCCGTAGACTATTCAGATCGTCGACTCTGTCCTATCTTAGTCGTACTTTAGCCTGTCAGCGGTACATCTACAAGTAGGGAAGTCAATGGCACTAGTTCTAACAATTTATCTAAAACTCTGATAGAAGCATTCAAATAAATAAACGAGTTATCTCTCGTAAAAGTCGCTTTTCACTATGTTTATGCGATGCATATACTTCAACTGTTTAGTGAAAGATCTTCATGAACTGATTTGGTTTTACTTCATTCATTTCATTTAAGCCCCCCCCCCCCCCCCTCAGAAATGATTTCTCACTTAGAATGGGTCTTGTGAGCTGAAAATTTCAGGGATGAGTGATCCTGGAGAGATAAGTCTCTGATAAAAATTTCAGCGCAATTGGCCTTACTAGACCGGAGTTTCAGCTGAATCATAGGTCATTTTTGGCCTTCAGAAGAATCGATATAACTTCACCATAACATGAGGTATCGAGCTCGGGCTGGTCTCAGATTAAAGCCAATGTCAGTGCACAACTTTTGTCTGAACAGAATTTTTAAATTCTATATTGTTCATTTTTNCAGTGTGCTAACGCTGGACTCAACCAACAGAATATTCATCAGAATTAGCAACAAGAGAACGCTCATGACCATCATTGGAAAAAAATAAGATAAATGACATACCGAGAGTTCCGAAAGAAAAATCATCTAATAAAAATATTTAAATTTTGGAATTTGTTATAGAACATCTCGAGTTTTAGTTTGAAGATTGAATTTAAAAGATTTAAAGAGCATTCCAGAAAATGGTTTTCATCAATTCAAAAGAGAAACAAATCTTGTTGATAAGAAGAACAAAAAGACTAAGGAGCCATTGGTCGAATGATTATTTGTCGAAAAATTTTTGGATCAATCGATCAACAAGCAAACAATATCGAATCTGATGGATGAAGTTGAGCGAAAATATTGATGTTTTTTTCCTGCTTAGATAAAAGAAAGAGTCGATTCTTCAGAGGTGAAGTTTGATTATTGATCTCTTCACAGGACGAAGGATTATTCGTAACTAATATAAATAGAGTTCCATGGCAAACAAGTACCCAGAGAAAAAGAAAACATTGAAATGAACTCGAAAATTGTTTTTCTACTTTGTCAAGATTGTTGTGTAGTTAAAATTTCAAATCAGATGGAAACGTGTTATTCGAAAAAAAATTCCTTTCAATAATGACACATTCCTCAAAACAAAACTAAAACTCTTTTTTTGTTCTAGTAGAGATTAGAGACAAAGTTAGAAGCAATTTATTTAAGTGTCTAACAACATCATGCACTTTGGATATTTCTCGAAGTACTTTTTATTTTTCTTTGCTGTCCATATACCACCATTGCTGAATAAAAAAATATTCTTTGAGTCAATTTTCTTGATTAGAAAATCCTCAGATAGTTCGAAGACAGGACTGTTTTTAACAGACATAATTGTATTGGTTTGAAAAAACTTTCAGTATAATTCTTCGAGAATAAATGGTGTAACATGATGAAGTCTTCTTTCATTCGACCAATAGGCTTTCACTCTTTATGAATGATTGCTAAGAAACTTAGAGAGATTTTTCTTCGAATATCTTGGTTGAAAGTCGTATAGAGCTTTTGAGAGAATAACACATATTTCTAAAATTAAGCCTAGGCAGCAAAAGAGAGGAAGAGCCTCTCTAGAGTATAAAATGTTCTCAGTAGGTCACCTTGAAAACCTCTCGACACAAATGTTTTTGTAAAACTAACAATAAACTGCAGGTCTCGTATATAATTTAAAAGAGTAAGAAAACCTCTTGTTGTCAATTGATAGTGAGAACAAGTCATTTCAGTAAAAGATTCATAAATACAAGGAAGTATCTTCGATAAAAGCAACACTTTCACGTTAATCTCTACGAGATTGAAATATAAAACTCGTTCGCATAATTTTTATAGTGTACAAAAAGTTTTTAGCAACATGTTTTTCGGTTTGTCAAATACTGTGTTCCGTAACATGTATACGGAGATGAAAAGAAAATACATGATTGTCATGCCTTAAGACAGATGGATGATCAAATGGTAAAAGACCAGAAATTAAATCAAAGGCTAATTGAAATTGATCCAAAACTACGTTATAGAATCCGAAATGTAATTGATTTAAACTTGCATTATCCAATGCCTCTAAAGAATATGCATTTGTCAACAACAGACACTTGAAATACATGATGTTCGATTGATTTCAAGTAACCTCTATAGCTTTCGAAAATTTATCGCGATTTGAATAAATCGCTGAAGAAAGAAATTAAAATTAGAAGAACTAGTCACATCTGCAAGCTACTTCGATATACATCGAAGCAATTGAAGTAGTGTTTGTTACACAACTCTTTAGAAGCATAAAGTTCATTATGAATTCAGAGAAAATCTCGGGACCAATAATGATCCGAATCGTTACACACCTCTTGACAGCTGCATGTAACAATGCTTGTTTTACATGATTTGTTTTTTTTCATCGTCGCTCATTTTAATATGTAATTGATATCGATCTATACTAGATGGTGTATGATATTGACGAAAACACTAAAACCAACTTTTTTTTGTTTCTAATTAGACGAAAACAAACAAATAGAAGTAGCATCGAAATCAAGCTGGTTATATTTAGTTAAAAGATAGGTCACGATTCATTGAACAACGTGAGACAATACAGGTGTGCGTTTATGACATGTTTTCTTTTCTGCTGCGTGCAAGCGACGTATCAAAGAAAAAAAAAGAACGAGCATACACTTGCATTAATAACTACACTTTTATTTGACAAGGATTTACTCATAAAAAGTCGTATTTTTTGCAATCAAGGATACTTTTTCTCTCAGAACAATTTCACGTGGTACTCTGAAAAGTTTTTATTAGATACAGTGAAATCAATCGATAATCTTTTTCCATGAAGAAATAGTTCTACTTGCTTTCTGTTTCTTCTAGAAGGACGAAAATGCTCCTTCGAGCCAATGAACACAAACAGATGGTGTGGAAGAATGGAGGTGGAATTACCAGTGAGATTGCTCGTGCACCGAACAATGAACAAGAAGAATTTGATTGGCGATTAAGTATAGCACAAGTGAAACCTCCCGGTGGTCCTTTTTCTATTTTTCCTGACATCGATCGAACTCTATGTGTTATCAGTCAGCACGAACTTGATCTGATGTTCAATAATAACTGCAATGATATGATTCATCTCAATCAAGATTCGTTGCCTTATTCATTTCCTGGTGAATTATCTATCACTTGTCAATTACACGGTGAAACATTGACCGATTTTAATGTGATGACACGACGTACTAAATTTCACCATGATGTTGAACGTGTCAAAATGAAATCTAGACAAGAAACAACGATCAATGTTTTGGATAACAGCAACGAAATTGTATTTGTCGTCGTTGGTCAAGGACAGGTGATGACGAACAATGGAATTCAAATGACAAAACATGATGCACTTCGAATCGATCAACATCCGTTGAACATACAGATTTCTGCTGTCACCGATAACACTCAACTCTATATAGTTCGACTCAATCCGATTCCCTCAAAAGAAAAATAATTCAATAAATGATATTTGAACGAAAGTTTTCACTTTGTTTCGTAAAGAGAATGTAGAAAGTAAAATAATTAGATACACGGCGAAGATTCGAGTGCAAAATGGAATTAGAATTTGTATCTTAAAATCAAAGTGACTAGTTTCAACTTGAAATTTTCATCCCTCAATTTGTGACTCGGAATCAAATCATCAGTTTTTGTTAAATAATTGAACACAATCACGAAAGAACCAAAGATTGTTACACGATATTTCTCTCCTCTAGAATATCTCATCCGTTCAATCTTGTTTTATGATTCAAGATGAGTTCTCGATTGGATCTACTCATAAATAGTTGAATGAGGGTATCGGTGTGCATTGAAGAATATTCTCTTCAGCTGACCCCTCAGGATTTATCAGTTTTGAACTTTCACTGATCTTGTTTTATTCTTTATACAAATCCTCGTCTGATTTAGTTGTAACGTCTGAGAGGAGTTTGGTCCAAAGATTTCAAACAGGTACTGATAAAAAATTAATAGACTGGTAGTATAATTGTTTCTATTATTGTTGTCAAGATCTTCGTTAGAATCGAAAATGAATCAATTTAGAATTCTTTATTCTTAGTTGATAACAAAATCTGAGCAAACGCTTGAAGAAATTCCTAAAAAGGATTCTATTTCATGATGAGATATTCCGAAAACAGTAATTACTAGAGTCCCGGAATAGAATCCTTCAGATTAAGAATTCTGAAAGATTCTTTCAGGATTTCTTAAGAAATAAAGAGGTATTCAAACTAGAGTAGCATCATTTATTCGTTTCGTTGGTGATCATTTATATTCAAATATTTTGTACTTGAATGAGTATTTGTATAAATTCAATATCGATGATCAATTTTATTTAGTAAACTTTCTAACAAGGATCTAGCCATTATTTTTATACATTCAGTATTATAACATAGAATAAACGCACAACGAAAATTTTTTTTGAAAATCATAAANTGTTAAACTTGATGCAATGCATTCGAGTGATTTTTATTATTTTCCAAAACCAAATGATCATAACTCTTGGCTATCATCAATATGCAACGTTGTTGAACGTTTCACTCAAATTAAAATACCAGCGGAAGAAATATTAGCGTACATGAAATCGATAACAATTATAAAATTAGATATTACACACTATTATGATGATTGCAGTATTTGTTATGATCCAATGTATCATACAAATAGTGTAATTACTACTTGTGGTCATGTTTTTCATAAAAAATGTATCGCCGATTGGTTTTATTACAGACATACATGTCCACGATGTATAGAACCTTGTGGATTACAGCAATTATTAAATTGGCTTCCATCTCAACTGTCACTAAAACGTCCACAGGAACAGACTAAACGACAAAAATGATGTCTAAGCATGTTTATATGAAAACCGTTACCAAATTTTTGTATATCATCTAAAATGTATTAACTATATTTTAAAAATAAACGTTTTTAAATGCTAGTCGTCATGATCCTTAAGTGTAAGTGAAAGAAGGGGCTCATACACTTAAATGTCAAATGATTTGAAAAGATCTAGGACCCTGTCCATATCCGTCAATGGTATTTTATATAATTATCTGTGGTATCTTTTTTGCTGGAAAGATTTATCAGTTATGGAAAATCTCAAACACTTTTCATAATCGTATTGTAAATATCTGGAAAATAATATATTCATTTATTACGGTCAAGTTTTTTTTCTTGGCTTGATTATATAAAAAGTCATTATTAGCAATAACAGAAGGAGAGTTCATCGGCAATATGTGCGACTACATTGTTCCTCATATCACGGCGACCGTATGAGACGCTTGTGCGCATCGAGCATTCAAAGCTGGCACCGGAACCCATTCTCTTGCCTTTTTAGTTCGTCTAATGTGGAAATAGCGATTACTAAGCAAGTATTATGTTGAGATGACGCAATGTTCCTTGTTTGCTGTGTCGAACAACTAAAATTGTATCGTGGATAAATCATTCAGTGAGAGAAATACGACTTTTACTTTGACCATAAAACGCTTGAAAATTCTCAACCCTTTTATCTTTACTGATAAGAGAAAGATTATTGTAGTTGGTGTAGAAGAAAACGCACGTGGTAGTGATCGATGCATTGATCAATGTTTTTCTTTTCTATATTCAATATGAATCCACAGAGAATCTATCAAACACCCTTCTCCTACATCTAAAGTAAGGCTGCTGTATATCCACGTACCTGATATGTGTGACGTTGTCTTTCTAATACTTTCTTTCCTTTTCTTCTCTAGTGGTCATGAAAATATTTGTGCGTCATTCCTTGCTGATACGTTTATGTAGTGACTTGTGTTGATGACTGTAAACACTTTGAGATAAAATTTCGTCATTTACACGTGTGTTCGTTATCGTTTTGTAACAGGCATTATTTTCGTTAACACGTTATTTATTAAAAAAGCAAAATATATATAAGGTAAATGTAACTTGTTATGGTTTTTTTGATCCATCATTTATTTGAATTAGATAAACAAAATGGCTAGTGGCAATAGTATAGAAGCACTCATAGGAACATGGGAACATGTAAGTAGGATCGTTAGAGTCTTTTTATTACTATCAAATTATCGTGCCTCATGTTATTATCTCAGGTTCGCAGTGAAAATTTTGAAGGATTCTTGAAAGAAATGGGTGTTTCGATGGCTTTTCGCTTGTTAGCTAAAAGTATGAGTCCTCGTCTTGTTATTAGTGAAAACAATGGCATCTGGACATTACGCACTGAAATGCCACTAAAAACTAAATTGATAAGTTTTACACCTGGTGTCCAATTTCAAGATACAACTCCCGACGGAAGTGAAGTGCAGGTACGTTGATCATCTCTTATTTCCATGTCGACTTGGAAACTCATTCTTTTTTTCTCTCTAAATTGCTTTTGTTTCAGACAACTGTTCGTTTCGAAGATGGCAAATGGGTGCAGACATTGTGCAGCAAAAATGGCAAAGAATCAATGGTAACACGTTATATTGATGATCAAGGACTACAACAGATTGTGAGTAGTTCGTTACGTCTCTCATTTTCTTTAATATTTGCTTATAGGAAATGACGAGTGGCACTGTCAAAGCCCATCGATGGTTCAAGCGAGTAGAATAACGAATACCAATCGTGACCGGAAAACACTCTTCACCATCAATATTAGTCTTTTTTTATTTTATATTTTAACATGCTTTGAATATCTCATCAGTAGCTCAAACAGCGACTAAATGAGTGTCTTTTATTTTTATCTTTTGAAAATTAGTAGCGTTTCACTAAATTTCGACAAATACCAAGCATATCAATTTCTAGAGTGTAATTCATTTATTTATAGACCAATGTGACAGTTTATTCTCCAGGAAATCAAGAGGAAAATGTGATCTACCTCTCGTCGATAGAATATCTGTGAAGAAAAATCTATATGAAAAAGAAAATTCGTGAACAACAACTCAGCGAAACTTTGCTAAAATTTTCAAAAAGATTTGCATTGGAAAATGTTCTTTATTCGATAGAATTTGATTCGTCTATCTGACCGAATTGGAAAGATATAAATTCATTTTCACTAGAAATTTTTCTTTAATATTCAATTCTTCGATTTGTCGTCAAGAGAACAACAGATTCAAAAAGTTTGTACAATTGAAATTCCTCTTGATCGATAGATAACATCGAGTAAAATTTTATTTTGCAATTTGTTCACTGTTTATAGTGAATGTTAATTGTGTTCTGAAAAGTTTGACGGTAAAAGCAAAACGTTTTCTCATAGCTGCTTTCTCTGAAATAATTTCTTTTTGAATTTATGGCATTTTATTTGTTTTATCACTTGGACACATGCTGTCTTTCATCGTTTCATGTTCTGGTCCTCAAGGATTTTATGACAAATGATTCGAACGATGCAGATCAAGTAGAACTTATCTCGTTTAAATCATTGCTATCATTATCTACACATCCAAAAAAGCAGTTAAAACTTCGTAATCAACTATGGCCGATTCGCATGAATTTCAACGTCACAAAAATTATGCTCAATAGTCGGTTTTTCAGGAGTTTTCTAGTGTTCAACTTGAGGCTGATATGATTGTTTATTTTGAAATAGAAGTGTGAGTTGGTATATTAAAAGNTTTCAGATAACCGTTCGTTTTTAAGATTACAAATGGGTGCAGACATTGTGCAGCAAAAATGGCAAAGAATCAATGGTAACACGTTATATTGATGATCAAGGACTACAACAGATTGTGAGTAGTTCGTTATATCTCTCATTTTCTTTAATATTTGCTTATAGGAAATGACGAGTGGCACTGTCAAAGCCCGTCGATGGTTCAAGCGAGTAGAATAACGAATACCAATCGTGACCAGAAAACACTCTTCACCATCAATATTAGTCTTTTTTTTATTTAGATTTTAACATGCTTTGAATATCTCCATCAGTAGCTCAAACAGTGACTAAATGAGTGTCTTTTATTTTTATTTTTTGAAAATTAGTAGCGTTTCACTAAATTTTGACAAATACCAAGCACATCAATTTCTGGAGTGTAATTCATTTATTTATAGAACAATGTGACAGTTTATTCTCCAGTAAATCAAGAGGAAAATGTGATTTATCCTCTCGTCGACAGAATATCTATGAAGAAAAATCTATATGAAAAAGAAAATTCGTGGACAACAACTCAGTGAAACTTTGCTAAGATTTTCAAAAAGATTTCCATTGGAAAATGTTCTTTATTCGATAGAATTTGATTCGTCTATCTGGCCGAATTGGAAAGATATAAATTCATGTTCACTAGAAATTTTTCTTTAATATTCAATTCTTCGATTTGTCCTCAAGAGAACAAAAGATTCAAAAAGTTTGTACAATTGAAATTCCTCTTAATCGATAGATAACATCGAGCAAAATTTTAATCTGCAATATGTTCACTGTTCATAGTGAATGTTAATTGTGTTCTGAAAAGTTTGACGGTAAAAGCAAAACGTTTTCCACATAGCTGCTTCCTCTGAAATAATTTCTTTTTGAATTTATGGCATTTTATTTGTTTTATCAATTGGACAAATGCTGTCTTTCATCGTTTCATGTTCCGGTCCTCAAGGATTTTATGACAAATGATTCGAACGATGCAGATCAAGTAGAACTTATCTAGTTTAAATCATTGCTATCATTATCTACACATCCAAAAAAGCAGTTAAAACTTCGTAATCAACTATGGCCGATTCGCATGAATTTCAACGTCACAAAAATTATGCTCAATAGTCGGTTTTTTAGGAGTTTTCTAGTGTTCAACTTGAGGCTGATATGATTGTTTATTTTGAAATAGAAGTGTGAGTTCGTGTATTGAAAGAAAAACCGATATTGATGGTCGATCGACTGTTGGTTGTCAACGGACTAATATTGATTTATCGTCTGAAAAAGTATAGTTCTAGTTCTGAAGAAGTATGTGGAAGATGGATCGTTCTGTATGAAACTCATGCATAATAAGGTGAACAACGAGAGTATTAAACTAGAAGAATATTCATAATTCCATGTTTTTCTTTGCTTCGCTCACGAATCGATTGCATCATCTCCGATTTAGAGATCGAATTGTATCAAATATCACAGCTGAAGCGAAACACAATCATATAGGTAATCAATCTAGACCTATTCGTTTAAGATCATTCCCAATTCTATTCTAAGATTAGTTCGAGTAAGACCTTTGTTTAAGAAATCGTCTCGGAGGGAATCACCAATCGCTGCTTATCAAGTGGTCATTTGATTTGTAATTGATAATGCATTCATTCTGCTAAAGGAACTAGACACTTGGGTCAATTCTTTTTTTTTTTCATATCTAAGGTCATGAATTATAGCTCAAGGAGTGAAAAGAATAATTCTGAATTTGATCATCATTGACTGGCATCGTCATGCGTGATTCTGTCCTCTACTACATTGCTCTCACGAACTGTTCCATGGAAAGATCATCAAATTATTCGAAGAGAAATGCAATGAATTAATGTTATGAAAATCACTCCGCATTTGTACTATTACTTTTACATTATATGCCGAGTGGCAAATATAATATTTCTTTCAGCTAAAATATTCCAGTTTCAAGATTCTGTTTGATTCGAACATCATTATGTTTTTTTCTTGTTTATTTCATTATTTAAAATAGTTCCAAGTTAAAAATGTGACACTGTTTGTGTGAAAAACGATTCGTTCACTTAGATTAACCATCGCCATCAATACTAGAACAATTTGTGATGGCATAGTTTAGGCGTTGATACATAATATCTGTTGTTGAATATTCAGGTAAATCAAGAGCAAAAGTACACGTATGCGATCCTAGAATAAAAGAATAGAAACCTTGTTGATGGGATTATACCAGAAATTCAAGTCAATAAGAGGTTGGTTTTGATGGCATCGAAGAGAGAAATCATTTTTGTTTAGAAGTTTAAACAGGATTTTTGGCTGTTTAAAACCGAAATGAATACTAGTTGAGACAGCTTGATGAAAACGTTTTGCCATATTCTCCTACAGAGATTTTTTTCTGAGGTAAGTGGAATGATAGTACTTAAAGCTCAATTAACTTCTGATGTTAGCCTGAATGAATCCGATCATATACTGTTTTAGGGGAGGGAAAGAGTTGGTTTCATTCGATTTTTAATCTAAAAGTTACCAAATCTCATTTTTCGGCTTTTCTTTTATTTTTCATGGCAATCATTCACTAACCGAATCTTTTTTTTATCTAGATAGAAATAGCTTTGGATAATTCTGCTTAAGTTAGAGTTTCTATGTCGAGACTGGTTGAAAAGTTTATTTTTTGATCGTTGCTTTGATACTTTTTCCACGGTTTTACTATTTTTGATTATTTCTTTTTTGTTTATTTTTTTCATTCTTCTGATAGAGTAATCGCTTAAATTCGTTTGTCGTTTTGAAGAACAACTCGCGGTCAAAAGACAATCAGTGTTAAGCAGCTAAAGGTAAAAAAATCAGAGGTTTTTTTCTTAAATGAGAAAAAATCGGCAAACAACACTGGATGAAGATTTATGACAATTTTCAGGTTTCATTCCGATTTAGTTTTTGAGTATCTATCATCTCTTCAATATCTCTCACTTATCTAATTGAAAACTTCCCAAGACTTCAAAGATAAATTATTCTCTAAGCGAGCATTCAAGCTAATAAATCTTTCATTTGACTTACGTGGAAGCATCTTGTCTACTTCATCCGGTGATTCATAATATGGATTGATGCAAAATTTGCATGTAAATTCTTCATCACAACGTGGTAGTGTGCTTCGTCCCCACACGAAAATAATAAACGATTTTTTTTGTTCCTCATTGAACATTTCCTTTAGAACGGTCCAAAATCGTTCAATATGCGGTAAATCGTGATCATTTGAATCACCATAACGTGTGTTTCTTTTCAAAAGTTCTATATCAATATGACCTTTTCCACATACGGCTTCCTCAAGTTCACCGGCTGTAAATAGACTCAAATAGTAACATGGAACAACACTGTACAATCCTTGACGAATGAATTCAATCTGACGACTAAATTCATTCAGACGGTATTCTTGATATTTCGTACAATAATCTTTGAAATTAGCTGCTGTCAATGCAATTTCTTTGCCACCAGGAACAAGTTCGTATGATTGTCCAGCAGAACTGACAACTTCAAATCGAAGTTCACTCATAATACTACTAAACAAATAATTGATATCAATATTTACATCGATAAGTTCATCTTGAGTGAAATTCGCTTGCATTTCTTTTATTATTTTAAAACATTGTATATCAATTGCTTCAATATCTTCAATCGTCACTTGTTCTCTTGCTAATTGTTTCCATAGAAATAAGGGAAATTTCAAATCCAAATAATGTTTTTTTCGTATTGCCATGCCCATCAATTGTCCAACGAATCGATATTGATTTTTGAACGTATCCGGAATAGATTCATTCTGTGGAAACACATTTGGTATCCACCGATCACGATTCAAACCTATATTTGTTCGTCCATTTGGACATAACATGAACAATGGTAATCGTGTACTACAAATATCTGAACAAATACATGTAATTGAATCACGATAAGGTCCACCTGCATCAATGCTATGCATACCAATATAAGTTGCTTCCCATAAGTGATCATCCTCATTTCGAAATGATCTATGAGCATCTTTATGTAACTGCTCATAAGCTTGATAAAACATAGTATTTTTGCCATTTTCACTCTCCATTGTGGCTTTAACTGGATCAAACTCAACCGTAGGTCTGTGAACATTTTCTAGATTAGTTTCTTCTAGAGATTCTTCGAATAATTCGAACTTCTTCTGATATAACAGGTAGTTTTTGGCATTTCGAAGTCGATCTGCTACAATACTTTGTGTTGGTGCTAAACTTAAGTCGATAATGGACAGAACTTTGTCGCAAATTATGTTCAATTGATAGATGATTTTTGCACGAATCTGTATACAATTAGCTGGAATAGTTGACAACGATGGATAAATTTTAAAAAACGTTGGATTAGGTTCGGACTCTGTAGGCAGACTAATGATGAAGTCATTAAACGAAGTGTCATCCGTTAAATTTTGGTTCATAAAACTCACTAATTCTCTATCAACAATCGAATTAAAGTAAGTGTTGGATTTTTCAAAATCATCTACTGTCAATTTGTTATTGTCACCCAGAATAGTGCTGGATTGGACAATAAAGGCCTCAACAATTGGTGCTTGTTTGTTTTTATTGGTCAAAGCATCAATAACATCGATCATTGTAAAGAGATTACGAACATTTTTCGGACATGTAGCTAATATTGATTGCAGCCGTTCGTTGAAACTACTCACACTGCTCATGTCCGTTCGTTGATGATTCGGTCGAATCGAAAGCAAATAAAAAATGTCCATAACATACATTCGAAACTTTTTCATCGATGTTTCATCCTTAGATAGTTCGACAAGTAATTTGAAGAGGAAACAAAGAATATGGTCATATAAATTGAAATGTTCGCTTGCTTGAATCAAACTATAAAATAAACTAGGCTATAAATTCTGTCTTTTTTTAAAACACATTCGCATACAACTGAGTCTCCTAGTACCCTCTTATTTTTCGGTACACCTATGAATGGTCAGTTACATGGTGGTGTGAGCCTTTTCTTTGCCCATATCCTCAATACAGATTGTTCTCTAAGACTTTTTGACCAGATTTTCTAGCTATTCGAATGCTCTCTCTGTATTTAAGAAATCGTTATAATTCTCCATAAAATAAGGTGAAAATGATTTATAAACCAATGAAAATGATATCCAAAGTATACCTACATTTACACCTAGTCGAATGCTATTCTTAATTTTTTCGGCTAGAACTTTATTCTATCTTAATCTTTTTTTTACGATTATTTTTAGAAATCAATTCTCTATTAGATGTATATAAAACTTCTTTGAACTATAATCATTCCTGTGTTCAAGGTATTGCTTACATAGTTAAAGTCAAAACAGACCTAAAAGTCAATGGATCAAACTGAAACTTATAGAAATTACATAAAGAACAAGCTCTATAACTGCTGAAAATTTCATACGTATCAAAAATTGCTTTCTAAGGGATGAGGACAAATCATCTACTAGAAAATGCCAACCATTCATTCTGGCTCCGATTTTTTTGTGTTCGATTCAGAAACAATCAAGATTATCAACGAAGTAGCTTGAACCTTCCTGCAACTACTAAGACAAGAGGACTGATTGCCAAATTTAGTTTACTTACATCGTAAATAAATGAAGGATGAAAATTTTCGTTTCATGCATTGGAACTACAAGAAATAGATCAAAAATCAGATTGATTAGCATTTCTGGAAATAGCAATGGAATAATCAAATCAATTTCATGTTGATTCATTGTTGATTTATTCGCTACTAATTCCGCGAATATTCTTATCATTGTGAGAATAAATGTCAAATTAGGTTGATTGATTATCATTGATTCATCAGTGATGATTGTTTGCTCCTCAGTTTTCTTTAGTAATAATGATGGTTGAACCAGAAAAAGAATCAATTGCCCTATAATATTCTTTTGCAATTGGCTTAGCAATGGGGATTTGCTTTGAAATAAATGTTCATTCATTTCATTATGTGCTCTAATGTGCTTGTGTAGTGTATCCACTTCAGCTTGTAGCATGGACTTTGCTACGATACTTAATGTATCAATATTCGAATTTATCCGATCGTTGGCCGAACTGTAATGATATTCCATTAGGCGCAGTAAAGTGATAATCAGTTGAGAATCACCAAGTTTGTCTATGTGAAATAAACTTTGACCATTGTTCGACCAGATTTTGAGAAGATTGAAAATCGCTTCTCGTGCATAGATCGAGATTAATCCTTGTTCACAAGCAATTCGTGAATTTGAATATTGCTTCTGTGAAATTTGTTGATGTGAATATTGAATCGATTTGTGTATTGTTTTTTGTGAACTTTCTGTCATTGTCATCATAACCGATTGTTCTAGTTGGGGTTTATTCAAATCAAGAAGTTGATAAACGAGTTCATCGCTATGATTGTTTATTGATCTTTGTTGAATCCATTCTGTAAAGCTATTTTTGGTGCATAGACCACGTACGGCTTTCTGAAACCATTTTATGTCTTCTGATTCACTTTCTGTTTCGTCGTTGTCATCTGTTGAAGTTGCTGGCATTTGTAAATCATTCCAATTGACCAACATCATTTCAGCCACTGCTAACAACTCGACCTCATTTTCAAGTCTGGTAAACATGATTTTATTTTCTAACTTTTCTTGATCAATAGATGGGGCTAACTGTGATAAAATGGTGACATAATAATCTCGTCGATTCTTCTGATCGTTTTTGATTAATTGTTCTTTCTGTTCACGAATGAGCATATCAGCCATTTGCAATGTGAGTGCCTTAGATTGTTTGATGACCGACGTGATCCATGTTTCTTTGTATCCGATAGCACTTAAACGTGACAAAACAAGTGACAGAGGTGGTGCAAGCCATGATTCAAGAGAATATTGTGATGATTCCATTGTATAATCTATCGAAACAGCTTGATTGAGAAATGCGATCAGTTTGCATTCGATTCGTAATTTGTCTTCGCCTGTTGTATTCGTTGTTGAATCCTTTTCTCTAAACAAGCAAATAGGATTTGTTTTCGTGGTAAACTTATCGTTTTCAAGTGCCAATGACCCATTTAGATAGATTTTCCCATAATTATCATCGATTAAAACAGCAAAACGTACGTATTCGTTCAGTGGGACATTTAATGTACTCATGTTCAAGGTTTGACCGTCTGATAAAAGAAAAAGACGGCCATCATGTGCTATGCAAATACTTAACTGTGGATTCAACATTACTAGTGTCAGTCGTTCATTATTCTTTGGAAAACTCGGTACGTAAATATCGAGGACAAGTGTCAATCCAAAATTATGTTCAGTGGATATGTCTAGAACAAGATAAGTTTTGTTTCCGCATAACTGCACAACAGATTGATTAGTTCCATCAATTGTTTTAAAATAGTGTGATTCATCATTGTCGACTTGTGTTTTATTTTTCTGCCACAAACTCTTTTCGAATGGTTGATTAAATGGTACAAGTAATTCATTGGCAAACATTTGTTGATTTTTGCTGAATGTAAACACATTGGCTTGTCTTCGGTATTCATTCAATTGTTCATTGTCACTGGCCACATATGATAGACCATATGTAACTAAACGATGAATATGTTCTTCGGATAAAGCATATTTCCATATTGCAAGATTTCGAATTGCAGCGCCACCATTGGGTAGAATGTGCAAAGTCAGACTAGTTGTCCTTTTTTCATAGTCAAATCCTCCATAAAAGATTCGGCATTTGTCGTTCATGTACAGTTTTGTTTGTTGTTCTGTCGGATAAAATACGATCGTTATTCGTATATCTTCATTGACATCATTCATTGTTGGTATTTCTACTGAGAATAAATCCATTGAGTTCAATTTCAGTAGATGAATGTTGGTTTTATTGCTTGAATCATGATTGGATGTGGTTAGAAATTTAAAATCAAAGCTGACTGTTGATGAAGACGTTGAATTGTCAATCGGAAATGAGAAACCGCCACTATTTTCTGGTAATATTAGATGGTGATCATCAAGAATGAACGAAGTTTCTAAATGATTTTCGTTGACAAAGTCACGTAGACGAAACTTCGAACTACTCAATCGTGATGTGTAGATGTAATTTTCCATATTATCTCCGATTAAATAAGCATTGAAGGGATAGGCTACAATCGAGTTTTCAGTGTTGACTAATTTTGGTAATAGAAGTGGCTTGTAACCATCGGGTAATGGACATTCAGTCATATCTTCTGGACTAAGTAACAGTTCGCAACGATTTGAACAATAACTATAAGACTGCATAGAGACGCCGGGAAAATAGGTAGTATTTGGTCCATTTGGTCTCATATCACATTTCGTTCGTGATGATCCGAGATATGAGCGATGCGCAAAAGCGGTACCTAAGAATTTTCCATTCAGCCAATATTTGATTCGCGTATTTTCACCATCGATTTCAATTCCACATCCACAAACATCGTTTACTTTCCAGTGAATATCGTCATCAACGGGATAATCATGGCTACCATCGTGGAAGAGAACGTGTCGTGATCCATCATACGACCATGAATAGGAATCATCGCCTATTCCAAGACCATTACGGGAATCAGGCGAGAATCCAGCTGTTGCCCATCCGATTTGAACAAGTTCACCAAGTGGTAATTTCACACAAAAGTACCATTTTCCTTCGCTCACTTGCAGATTATCGATAATATAAGTCGGAAAATTGCCATCATCGCTGTCATTAGTCGTGTCGATACATAATTCTTGAAGTACCTGTGCAGGGGGAATTCTATATGGCATCGGAGTAACATATAGGTCATCGTTTCCTATTCTACCTCGTTTAAATAATTCGATTTCAGCTTCTGATGCATATATCTTCCATCCATTATATTTTAACACACTAGTAGTTAAAGTATCGACGATTTTTCGATCACGATTAATTGGAATATTATCCCATATGCTAAACGGTGATGTATCAGTGGTATTGTTTTGCTTCATGTCATAATGGAAATTTTCTTTTTCATGATCATTTTCTACTATTTGTTTTGAATGTTCATAGTTGTCTAGACTTAAACAATATTGTTCTAAATGATCTTTACTAAAATGACGTAAATCAAACAATTGAAGTCGAGTTGTCAATGGCAAACTACAGACAGCCAATTTCGCAAGAAGAGATACATAGGACTTTTGCATAAATATTTCCACAAGTTTTCTATCATTTAACAACTGACATAATGCACCGATACATCGACGTTTCAGTTGTAATAAAACTATGGAATTGGATGTTGATGTGTCCAGTTGTATGAAATAAGCAAGCTTATCAAGAATCAAATCGATTGTTCCATCGGCATGAGAAAACAAGTATGGATTCGGTGGTGGAACATCAATCTCAAGTTTTAATTTATCGGCTGCGACCCATTCAGCCTTGTCTTTTTGAAAATATTGAACATAGTACGGCGACGCTTCAGGTATACCCAAATCTCGAGCATTGATATCTACTTCTGTGATTAATGCCAAATTGTATTCATTACTATTTCCATCATCAGCATATATTTTCACAATCGAACCAAGACAATACGGTTGAATATATGTACCCATTATACCTAATGATGCAACGAAATCAATCAATTGATTTTTATCAATATTTTCAAATGACTCGAAGTCGTTGAAATTTAAGGAAATGCTATCAATAACAAGTTGCGTTGCTACGGATTGCCATGGAGATTTAAGTGACATACTCGTTCGATAAAAATTGATTAATTCAGTGATGATATCTGGTGTGATTCGTTGTACACTGAATTTTCCACCAATTGAATTGAAAACTTCGACTAAAAGATTTTTTATAAGAATACTTGACATTTTGTCGGTACTTTCTGGTAATAATGGTATTAAATGACGTAATATTTTCAATGCAAGCAAACTGCTAGTCATGTGTTGGCTGCGATGATAAATGTGCAGAAACTCTTCTATATAATTAATCGTAGTACAGACAGATTGAACGTGTTGATGGGTATGGATGCATCGAAGAACAAGGATCATCCACTGATTGGTGTAGAATTCAATGCTCAATTTTGAAGGAAAAAAAGTCGATATGCTTGATATATCATCGTTAGCTGCGACAACTTTGACGAACCAACCCAATGATACATTATTTAACGAGTCATTTTTTTCTTTGCTAGAATCATCCTCTTGGCTTTCCGTTGCAGCATCGAAGATTTCTCTCAATTGCTTCAATTCATTGAAAATCAATCTGTTGAAAACCAAATCTCTTTGTTCTTCTAGTAGTAGATTTTTTGTACCATTTAGTTCTTCTATTTGAATGTTTTCACACAATCTCATAGTGAACAATCGAAACCAATTATATTCAATGAACTTTCTTTTCAATACTGTGAGATCATCGATTTTTTCTGTCAAACTAATAAACGATGGGAAGAATTTTTCAGCAAATTGATAATGATGCAAATTATGAATATCAGCTGATTGATAGGGTAGATTTAGTAGATTGAACATCGGTGATATCAAGATCGTTGTTTCAGAACTATTCGATTGTAACAAATAGGAAAGAACAATTTTAATACATGCATAATAACTATTACAGATTTCTTCTTTCAGTACACTATTTGATGCTTCGATATTTTCCAAATACAACCAATCTAAATTGGCTTGTCTCAAATGTCGCAAATAAATAGCAGCAATAATATGAATTCGGTTTTTTTCTTGAATGTCGAACAATTTCCGAAGAAATACTTCACTAAATCGATATGTGATCAGTCTCGTAATGGCTCGTTCATGTTGTCTTAACATACACTGAAGCATATGCTCGGATGTCGATTTCTTTTCTTCAACAATTGTCAATACATTGCCTTCGTAGCAATCTCCATAAACATAGGCGTCAATGATTTCATGGAGAACATGCTCATTGTCTCGTTTTCGATCGATCATTTCTTTTTTAGACATCATCATTTTTTTCAATTGAACACAAGCTTGCAATGTATTTCGAAGCATTCGAAAAATAAGTTTTGCTTTTGTCCATCGTGAATCTTGTCGCCTTAGTTTCAGCGTTTTTATCTTATGTTCATTATCTGTGAGCGCAACATTTGCTCCCGATTGCTTTACATCTTCATGGATAATCGGAATCAAATGGTTTTCCTTAACAGATAATAAGAGAAAAAGTGAGTTGGTTTTGATATGATTACAAAGTTCTTGACAATCACCACCTTGCCCTCTAATTTTTGCGAATAACGTTTGAACGCGATTGGCATACTCGAAAATAGACAAAAGTTTACTGTGTGGTTTTCGATCATCCGTTCGAGACAATTCAGATTTGGCCAAATTAATCCGTCGATAATGTTTTATGTAGACAGAAAATAGAGCAGCACAAGCATCATTTGCAAATTTTTCGATTGATTTTTGTAGTAAACGATGTTTCTCTTTTACATGAAGTCTCATTTTCTCTATCAATTGTGCACCTTGACCAGTATTTTCATAAACAGACATGAGAAACTCATTGTCCGATGACAATGATTGTTGATGATCATCAATTGTAGACTGACTGTAGAGAGCCAAATTCGATTGAAACAAATCCGACAAATATTGAGTTTTATTATCGTTGATTTGCTCACATCCATTAGCAAACAGAAGTGAATTCAATTGGCGAACATACTGCTTTTCTAATGAACTTTGCGGTGAACCAATAATCAAAAAGTGACTCATACGACCTATGAGCCAAGATAAACAATGCGTATGAATGTTTCCATTGTTTTCATTGATATGACTTTGCAACAGATAGTCAGCTAGTCGTGGCAAAACGAATGCAAAGATCGGCTGAATTACTTCAAAATTGACTTCTTCTTCTGTATTTGCCAAGAAATACAATGTGAGAAGGATCGGATCCAATAAATCATTTGAAATCTTATCTATGTCAATACTACTAGTGAATATGCGAGCAATATAGCTAACCATCAGAGATGATATACCAGTAGCAGTAGCAACGGAACCAGAAGAGTCGATTTTTTCTTTTTTCTTTTTCGATTTTATAAATGGAATATCGATTACTTTGCAAGCTTGTAAGAGCGTTCGAGATAATAACAGTTTCTGAAATGATAATAGTAGTTCTTTTAGTCTTTGCTTTTGTTCTTCTTCGAAGTGATGTGGTGGATTTAGGTAGATATCAATGAATGAATATAATATGGTCAACGCTGCAGATTTCTCTACTTTACTGTTCTTATCATCACAAAGGAGTTCGATCCAAGTTAACAGAGTAATTCTCTCACTTAGTTTGAGCCACAATTGTTTGGTCAATTGATGATGATTGCTCACGAAAATATGTTGATGTATAAATGACAATTTCTCAATAAATGACACTGTTGCTTTGTCAAGAAGGTAAACCAACGCTCTTGATGCTTCTTCACATATTGTTGTGGACTGCCATTTATCATCATTACTACAAGTCAATTGCAAGAAGAATTCGAACCAATCTTTTAATTCAATATGAGTAGCAAATGTAGTTAAGTCAACATCATCCGACGATTGGAAACGACTCCATAAAAAAGATTTACTCCATTCATCGTTTGTCGAGAATAATTCTTTGCAGATATTAGATTTCACAGCACAGAAAAATTTCAAATGAGTGGTGAACAGTCTCAAGCAAACGGTAAGAATGAATATGACCGTTGGATTTGTCTGTGCCTTATCTGTTATTGTCAGTTGTTGAATAATTTGAAACAATTGTCTGAACGTGTCTGGATGAAAATCAAACGACAAAGAACTATTGATTGAACCATCGTTGAATTGTTCAATTGTATGAATTTCATTATCAAAATCAATGTGTGCCAAAATGATCGATGAAATAAACTGTCCAGTAAATTGGTTCTGCTCTATTGACAACAACTGTTCGTTTGGATATGCTCCAATCGATTTCAAATAGTCCAACGAAATCCATGCTTTTTCGCCTAAATAGTCGATTAGATTTTATTACTCTTGTTAAATGAAAACGATTCATTTTTAGGTGCAAGGCTTCATATAATAAAAAAGCACGACAGACAGAGAAGGAGAAGGTCAGCAGATTTATTCATAATAAATTTATATGTCAGAAGTATTCATCAGCATTTGAGCATGTTTCAAAGTTGAATTGAGTCCCGACAAAGATTTTCAGACATGTGACAATGAATGATATGTTTCGGCTATCCCAATTCTCACTGCTGCTACAAATCACTAATGACCTACATGGAAATTCTCAGAAAAGTACGACTAGTTTTGAACTGTAACAAATCAGTTGTGTCTCTCTTGTTTAAAGAAAGCCATCCCTGGTCTCGAATCAAAAATACAACTTCTACGATTACGGCTTTCTATCGACCGTACACCATTCAAGTTCTTCTATGAAATGACACATAAATGCTATTTCTTTGTTGTTGGTTAATATTTTTTAACCGACATCGAAACTAAAGCGAATGAATCTTGCTTAGTGAAACTTTGGTTTTAAACTGATCATAGCCTAGTCCTCTAGTGAGGTATCGGATTTTTGTTGAATTTTCACTTGAGGCTTGCAGTTATTTAGGAGTATGATAAATCTAGAATTATTTATCTGAAGTTTTACTTGAGCAACATATCAACTTGACTCTCTTGTAGAAAAAATTGTTTTCAAGATTTTTGCGTGACGTTTCTTTATAACATTATATTTTCAGCAACTGCATGTTTAAGACAATATACATGGGAAAGCTATAAGGTGTTGAAATTTCATTTTACAAAAAGTTTTATGTAAAACTTTCAACTTTTTACTGCAAGTTGCTTTGGTTGAGATGCTTATTCAAGAAGAGGTTCTGGGATCAACTGTGAAGCCACATCTAGAGAGGTTTCCTTGTTAGTAAGAAAAACTCATTGTGACTGTATGGTTTTAAACCAAAGTCTTTTTGTAACAAAGGTGATTTTGCATTTCAAAAATCATGTAAAAATCAGTCATGAGCCTTAATGACGCTAACCATGATGATATTTTCATCGATTTCACGAGATAAATGAAAACTCTGATGTAGTGTACATGATATCGTGCTTCGCAAGTTCAGAATTTTACAAAAACAATGTACTAAATTGTTTCTGCATCTTCAACATAGAATTGCCGGTCAAGCTGGAGCTTTTTAAAGACATTAGATACTGTATTGGGTGAATACCTGCTTTCATTTTAATAAATTTTCGCTGATAGTTTATGGCAGTTGTTGCAAAAATTTTCTTTATGAAGAAGTCATACTTATTCAGGTACTTAACGTATTTTGGTTCATTGAAAGAAATAAAATAAAAAGAAGACATTATTAAGTGACCATCTCAATCTGTGTCTAAAATTTTGAAGACAAATTTCAGTTCAATTAGCCCACCTAATATTTGAAATAAACACAGGAAAAGTGGCTTGTGATCTACTACCGAAGATTGATCTATTCTGAGAATTTCATTTTGTTTTTAAAAAGTCATTCTGCAGAAACATCGGAAGCAATATTCCCTATATCATTTCACTTGGGTATGCTTCATTAATTATCTACTTTTGATGTCGTATCAACGAAAAAATAGCAACCCTTTCATATGACCAATCTTTAGGAACTTGGATAAGTTCTGGACTGATTAGGCCATGGGTCATCAATTCAGTACTGATTCTTTATGGTCATGTGTGCAATTTAAATGTGCGGAATATTAGTAGAGAAAGGATCCTGATTTTTATCCATAAATTCGGAAAAACAATTTTCGTGTACTGGATCCAGTATTAAGTTCACATCAGAGGCACACTATTTCGAAATTTGAGATTCATTGAACATCGAAATTGAATATTTTCGAGTTGGTCGCAATAATGCGTAGACTTCTGTTGTGATTCATTGATTTCTATCAATCTGAATCTAAGTAAATCAAATCCCAACCTAGCTTACCATTTTTCGTCGAGTCGTTGTCTCTAC